TGGCAATTTGGTCTGCTTTGTAAGATCGGTTTAAAAGATGGAAGAATTTTTTTTTAAAAATTAAGACTTGTCTAAATTACATCAATATTTTACAAAAATTGGCAAAAATGCTTTAATTGCATTTTCAAAACTCGTTATAAGGGATATTAAACTAGTTGATTCATATGATATTGTTAAAATGGATTCCCAGCCACCTAATATTTCAAGCATATTTATCAGATATAATAATATTTTATTAAGTCCGAAAAACAAATTAATTTCGTTTTAATTTCTATTTAAAATTGAAAAAGAATATTTTCCTTAACAAGCTATATCAGAATTCTATGAGAAGTTATATTCTAAGGAGGGTGACCTTAATGCCAAAGAATTGGGGAGAAGTTCTTCACAAAATTAGTTTATCTATAAGTTGCAACAGGTTCATGGTTTAAAAATAGGTTAATTATTGTGATAAATTAGGGATAAATGTTTTGTAATTTTATTATAGATATTATTTTTATTTACATTTTGGAAGTAATTATGGGTGGCTTCAAAAACAGTCGTGTTTTAAAATCTTTATAACTCCAAAAAGGTCATTCATTTTTTTTTATGAAATAGCCATATTTTATTTTAAAAATTATATATTGAACTTAGCGTCCTCGAATATTTTTATAAATTTAAATAGTTTTTTTTAGAAAATTAAGATGGAAAAATACCAAAATTTGACTAAAAACCTCAAAATATTTTTTCTCAAAAACTAGCTAGTTTAAAAAAAATGAGTTTTGAGTTATTTTTTGTCAAATTTTAGTTATTTTTAATCTCAATTTTATATTTAAAAATAACGATTTAATCAAATTCTATAAAAAAAATTGAGGATATACGAAATTTTATTTATATTTAAAAAAAAACAAGTGACATATTTTAGATAAAGATTTTAAAAGGCTATACTATACTGTCCTGTCTGGTCAATCCGAGTCGGGTTAAAAAATTAAACCGGGCTGAGCAACATGCAAAAAATATTTTTTGGGCCTGAAACTTGAATACAATTTTTGGACTTGTATAAGTGGTCCCTCTTCAAAGTACTTAATCCGAGTGGGATTTTATGATGATTTACTAAGAAAAGTCCATTTTTAACTTATTTTTTAATCATCTTAGTATTTATAACTAGTGTAGAGGGGAAACCGAGGTAATTGTTAAATTGCCTAACTTTGACCATCTCTATTGTGGCTTAGTCAAGCTTTTAGCCTAAAAAATTGAGTTAAGCCTCTAAGTTGAGTCTAAACTTGAAGATTGATTTGAATATTTTTAAATAAAAACATGGCTATGCTGTTTTATAGTTGACTAAAGTTTGGTAATTTAACAGCACTAACGGGGTAACAATATTGACGCGAATTATTTCTTAAACCTTGAACATAAAGACTCTAAATTTAGTGTAAAGATGTATTTTATACCTTATTTCTTACTTGTATTCATCTTTTAAAAACTTTCTTAGTTGGGTATATTTTGCAAAAAAAAAACGTTTTTTTTACCCAAAAATTATAAAAATCACCGTCTAGTTTTTTTCTGCATTTAGCAAAATATACTAAAAATTTAGAATTTTGCAAACATGTTTATAGAAGCCATGGCTATAATATAAAAGTTATCGAAGGTTATAGCTTAACTAGAAGTCATAGAATAAAGATTTACACAATATATATCACCTTGGGCTAAAGTTGCTATGGGTAAAACGGTTAAAGTGTTACGTCTGATTTAAGCTGTAAAAAGATAATTTTAAATATTAAAGTACACTATATAAAAATATACTTTTATGCAAAAAGGAACATGAATAAATAGTTTGTGTGTTATCTGGAATAAAATTATATGAATAGTTTCAAAAGGGAAGAATAATTGATATGTACCATGTGCCTAAAGGGCGCATTCAAAATGTACTATTTTTGTTTGATATAACTTTATATATTCCGGTATTGTATTGATTAGTTTATAAAAGTAATAAATAGATGTCAAAATTACAATATTATGTTCAATTAAACAATATAGTTATGTTCAGTTTTAATTTAACCACTCTACCCTGGCTTAGCCACTTTATCCTGGGTAGGGTAAAATTGTGAAAATGGCACACTTCGCATAATTAATTATAGCTTCTAAGATATCAGGTAGAGACTACACTAGAATTCGATTATTTAAATATATAATTTGTTATGTTTTATTAATGTTTTAAAACATTATGATAAAAATGCAAAACACCAATCGTTTTACCCAGATCTCCCTTAATAAGTAATAGACTGCGTTATGAAATGCATACATTATTTAATTACTAGCCTCTTCCTTCTCGCAATATATATAAGTGTCGAGAGTCCCAGGAATTGACCCACATTTTGTTGCCTCAATGAAAGTGAGAAATTCTCTATATATAAATAAAATCGTAACTTATATTTCTAGAAGACATCTATTCCTAATCATTTCGAAGTGATTAGACAAGGATATTAACTATTATTCATTTCATATTCCCTTTACTTAACATTTTATCGATATATTCATATAAAATATATTTTAATCAAATTTTAATTATTAACCTAACCCACTGCTGTGTAAAAATTTTAAGGCTTTATACCGATTCATTTTTAGTGTTCTATTTATGTATATTTTAATTTTATATTTTTTTAAAATTAATATTGATTTAATTTCATATAATATTTTTTTTTATTTTTTTGGATAAAATTTTTTATTCAAATTAAAAATTAATCTTTATAATTAAGGATAAATGGGAAAATTTTAAAATATAGATTATAATTTTATCATTTTTATGTTTATTTTATATTATAATATTAAATGAATTAAATATACAAGGAAATCATTTTTGAAAATCATTATTACCTTTTAAAGATCTACAAGGCATGGCCCGTCCGATAGCCCTACCCCTAGGGCTATTTTTTAAAATATATTTTAAAATGCGCCTAGCAATAAATTACAACGGATAAGGTAGAGCAAAAAAATCATAACGGGTCTAGCAATTCATACATAAAAAGTTTTCGGGCCCAGTCGCACAATTTATACATAAAAAATAAGGCAAAAGCCTCGCAAATCTCTGATTTTTTGTAAAATTTTGCTGTGATAGCTATATAATTTTTTACATGTGAATGACCGACTAATTTTTTTTTAATGATAATATTTCCAAAAAATTTACGAATATGAATTTGCAGATATAAAAAAACAAATTGAATTATGATCTAATCATCTAATTTAAAATATTACCATAAAAATATTTATTTATTATTGCTATCAAAAGGCAATTTTATATTTTCGACACCTTATACCCTCTATTTTGTGATAACTAAAAAATCAATAAAAAAATGTATTACCCTTATCGAGCGAATAAAAAAAAATGACATGACATCTATATGTGTAAAGATTTTTCTCTCTAAAAAAAGATATATTTTTTATGATCGGAATAATAAATTGGTAATATCTGAAAATATCAGTTTTTAATAACAAAACATTTATATGTTTAATATATAATCAAAGGGTAGAAAAGAAATATCCGATTATTGTCATTTATCACTCGTGACAAAATTCATCGATGATAATAATATTTTGCAAAATATATACATACCAATTTGTTAAATATTATATCTTTAAAAATTTATATGTCTAGTATCTTTGACCAAATCATGTAGCGTTATATATATACATATATATATTAACAATATTGCTTTTTCGACCTTACGAAAGTCAATCTTTCTATATAAAAGTAATATATTATAGAAATACTAGAACCATTTTTTTTATAATGAGACCAAAAATGGACCGCATCCTTAAGGTGCCATCTTTATATGGTATTTTAGTGAACATTTCTCGTTTCGAAAATCGGAGACTCATATTTTATTCGTTTCTTCACTTTTATATACCTTCCAGACAGAGCGAGTTTTCTCCGAAATGGTAGAAAAGACAAACCCAGCTGAATCGAGAGTGTTTGGGAACATATGTTTTTAAGGTGTTATTACCTTTTTGAAAAAAGTTTTGGAAGTTACCTTTACAAAACCCATCAAGAACTTTGTAGCTTTCAATATAGATCAGAGAGATACTCAAATGCAGGAATAATCCAATGCTTAAAAGATATATAATATAGAAAATGCTTGGAAACTTTTCTTTAATTCTTTTCTAAAAGTTATTTTTTTTTCTTAAACAGAGGACTTGAATAAACCGAAATTATTTTCATTTCCTGAATTACTATTTTCTTTAGCCAATCAAAAGAGGTTCATCAGCCTCCAATTTTATACCTTTTTTAAAATCGTTTCTTTTTATTCTATATTTCTCTTCGTTTTTATTTATTATACATAAATATATTAATTTTAATATTTACCTGTCGCTAATTTAAATTCAATTTTTCTATTTTACAACTGTAGCATGAACTTTTAATATTTCCTTCTTTTTTATTAAAAAATAATAGATAAAATTTAATTCGGAATTGGACAACTGAATTTGCCAAAAAATGCGTTTTTATTTATTTAATTAAAAAATTTAGGATCGACACTGGTTCGCGTCCAAAAAAATATAAATTTCACAAAGATTATTTGAGGGCTTGAACCGTTATTTAGCTCTTGAATCCTTATTCTAAAATCGATATGAAACAATACTTTATTTTAAAAATGATTTGTGGGAAATCGTGTATAGCTATCCTTATATATAATTTATGATTCCCAATTAATTATTCAAAAATAAAAACCTCCACTATCTTCTTCATTGACTTTTACATTGTATAATTATTTTAATTTATATATTATTTGTTATAAAAATGTTTCAATTTTTATTGATTTTTATTACTTAAAATTGGTTTTTTTTAAAAAAAAAATTAAAACAAAGTAAGAATATTTTTATTTTCTTATCTTTTTTTGTACAATATTTTATATTTTCTTTAAAAATATAAATTTTTATAAAAATATTAAATAAAATAGCTATTTTATTTGTTTTTAACATGTTAACTTTATTAATAGTCTCTTATACATGACATTAAAATTAAAACCAAAATTGGATAAATAAGTTAAGCATAAACTTGAAACTGGTACTCTTAAATACCTAACCAAAAAAATATATGTAATAGATAAAATATCAAAAATGCCAAAATTTTATTTTATTAATTAATAACATTAATCATGTTAGCAAAAATCAACATTCACATGATATATACAAATAATAATCCACTTGAAAGAAAACGAATGTAATTAATGACAACCAAGAAGCAGCACAAAATTCCAATAATTCTCAACTCGGATGAAAGTTCAAACTTATCCAAAACTCAGATAGATGATCCATTGATGAAACCATATTCGAGCCATTTGAGCTGTACTATAAAACATAAAGATAATTGTGATAAAAATGTTAGATCCAATCTCACAACCTATGAGAACAATATTTTACCTACATTACATACACAAATTCATAACAATAATAATAACTTGGAAAAAAATATAATTGAGACTGGAACTCACGAAAATGATTTGAATGTGCCGACTATACTTCATCCATCCCGTTCTTGTCCTAATAATATGGATTCAATAAATAATATCGAAAATTGTAATGAACTCGAAAGGATTCCAAAAAATAAAACCGATTACTCAAGCAAGAATTCCGGTAAAACAATTCCTCCCAAGATGTGCCAAAATAAATACGAGCTGAAAGAAATATTGGGAACGTAAGTTTATATTCAATTTCAATTTTAACGTTCAATAATGAACTTTCATTTTTTCTTTATTTCTTTCTTTTTTCAATTATAAATTCCTTAGCTCATTATTATGAGATATTTTAGAATTTTAATAATGTACGGTTGACAAGTGACAACCAATATAAATCCAGAGAATCCTCTAATAAAATAAAATCTAAACATGAAACGTAATCTTAAAGAATATAATTTAAAAAGTTAAATACTTTAAAACATTTATGAGTATACTAATGCATAAATTATAGATCTAGACAAAGGGCCTAAGGAGAAAGAAGGATAGGGAGCCCATTCAATTTCATTCATTTAAAACAATTAATTTATCAAAATTAACTGTCATGATATAAATTCTGAATATTCCTCAATTCCTATCCTAAAATTGATATAACATTAAACTATTATCCATGTAGTTCCATTCTCCATTGTTGGGTAATGGCCAAAAGTCAGTTTATTTGCTTAATCTCAGGCTGTGCCGAATAAGGTCTACAAAGCATCGAAGCACTAGTTAATTTATTTATGCTCTTTTCAAAATTTCGCTTATTTTTTAGAAGAAAAAACTCCGAGGCCGAGATGGTAGTTTTCGGTAAAATAATAGGGTTCACACTTTTCTTTATCTGGCTAAAAATTGGTTTAAATGGCTAAAAATATAACAATTACCCAAATATATACTCGATAGGAGGGATATTAAGTGTTTAAAATATGAGTCATTTAATGTTATATTATGGTAAAATAAAATTAATCTGTTAAAAAATAAGGAGCTATTATCTACTGAAATTCAAAGATTTTGTAATAGTTCATTTCTTATTAAAATAAGAATTAATTGTAAATTTTTTTTCATATAAGTTGTTGCTTCAGCTTGGGGCTCTACATATCCATGGTTAGGGAATTCGCTCAAACTCTCATGGATTTATTTATAAATATCACGAATTTATTTATTTGTTATTAATTAATCGAAAAGATATCCTAAAAGATTGATAAAAGTTATAAAAATTAAATTTATGAGAAATTGTAGAATGATTGGACATAATTGATCCAAGCCGAATTATTTTTTTTTTAGATTTTATATTATCAATTTTATATTGGACATATCGATATCAATCCCGTGATACTATTCTCTTTACTTAACACAACTTTTTAAAAGAGGGGAAAAAATCATTTATATTTTTCCTATTTTATGATATTCAAAATTTTTTTAATCAATGATAAAAGAGTTTTCTTTTTTCAAAATTCCACCGAGACCATTTTTTTCGGATTTATTTTTTTTAGCATTTAAATTCAATTTAAAAGTTGAATATATTTATTTTTTTTAATATTAAAATAAATATTTCTGACATTTAAATTTATTAGACTATATTATTATGATGATAAAAACGGGAATGAATATATAAATATATAAATTTTTTTTATTTGTCCTTCAAATTATAGTTTTTTTATATCTCCCTTTGTATTGTTTGGGTTAGTAAGGAACAGAGCCGGAATTGGGAAAGAACTGATTATCGAAAATAAACCGCAATGTAAACCGGACCATAGCCGGATTAGTCTTGTTAAACCGCTCGATTTTTACATACGGCTATTCAAAATTCGTCAAAGATAAAAGGAACGCCTTTCATTATTTTTTAGATATTCCATTGAAACCAATTCAAGACCAAACAGGCAAGATCAAGTCCAACCCGGTGCCCAACCCGAGAAAACATAATCGAAGCTCCTTAATATTTTGGTTGTTTGCCTATAGTAAAGCTGGTCATGAAAATAATATACTTAGTATTGTTGAGTAAATGGTTAAATGTTGGCTAATTTGGCTCAATCTTAGGGGGGCTTGCCTGAGAAAATCCGTTAACATTAAGGCATTTTACTTTATATTGTTTCTTCTAAATTTAAGCTGCTATTATTTTAAGAAAAACCCCGAGGTCAAATGGTAGTTTTTTAGCTAAAACTTAGTTTAGCCGATTTTTAGCCGGCTAAAAATTGGCTTAAACGGCGAAAAATATAATAATTTCCCAACTATATCAAGTATTGACAAAAATTAAGAAAAGAGAATATGAAAAATTCCAATTGAGATATTTTTTTAAATCTTTGGCTAGGATTGGTTTTATAAATATTAGACTAGTTCTAAATATTATGATTAAAGAGGGCGTGATAAATATGTGTTTTTTTTGTAAGTAGACGGGATTTTTCAAAATTTATATTTATCGGGCGTTATGGGCGAGGAAATAAAAATTTCTTCATGCGTGGGCGGTTTATAAAAAAGGAACTATTTACCAGAAATGTGTTGAGTTATTATAAATATAAATTATTTATAAAGTAGTATACTTATTTTGGCCTGTTAATAAACAAGTCAATTTAAATATATAATAATGGGTATATTGTATTAATACTATAAAATGGCTGTAATATGTGGAAGGTCCTTTTATCGTAAAACCTGTCTAATTTGGGTTTGGAACCATGATTTTTGGTCAAATTAGTACCCAAATTAAGAAGATCCCAAGTTAGACAAGTATTACTGTAGTTGTTTTATATTTTTTTATTAAAATTTAATTTTGATTCCTTGTAATTTTATAAAGAATAAAAAGTAGGGGAAAACAGGAGTTAGTAGACACAATTTTTGTCCAAATCATCATAGATCAAAAAAATAATAATCGCATCATGTAGTAAAATATCAATGGATGCCATAACTGACATATTTGATGGATATTTAGTATTTTCATTATAATTATTTTAGTAAAAAGAAGTTTTTGACCCTACAAACCCCGGATCATCGTATACCTGATCATCGCTAGAGCCATTTGAATTAAGTGGTGGTTAGGGCCAAGGGCACAAAAAGAAGGTTTTTAAGATTTTGATATACAATGTAGAGATCTGCAAAAGTAAGCCCGCACCTTTTTTTAAAAAAATCGGGTTCATGTTGGGCCAGGCTTAATATTTTTAAAAAAAAATTCGGGCCAGGTAGGGTCGGAGCCTTGGGAATTTTTTTAAATATATCTAAATTCGTCAATTTTATATTGAATTTATGCAAAGTAAAACTATTTGATTCTATTTATAGAAACTAGACGCCATAACATTTATCTTTTATTTTGAGTTTTTATAAATATTAATTTCTATATTTAAATAAATTCAGGCCGGGCCGGGCATGGTCGGCAAAATTTTTAAAAAAATCGGGTTCGAGCCAGGACAGCAAAACTTTTTTAAAAAAATTTCGGGCCGGGCTTGAAAAATTAGGCCCGATTTACCAAGTTTATTTCATATATTGGGTTTACATTAATAAATTTATCATAGAATATTACAGCTTAATAAAATGTTATATACATCTAAACCTGTAATAAATGTGACTATTCTTTGATGACATTTTATTTTCATACAATTTAATAGCTACTTCATAATTCTTTTATTATTTTTTTTTATATTTTTGAATTTGGTATATAGAATTTCCAACCATTAATGGCTTGGGAAAGCTTAACCCTGCCCCCCCCCCCACCGATAAATATGATAATTTTGTATTTTCATTATGCATTAATATAGATATATAGATGAAAATTTGTTTCCTCCTTTATTTTCTATAAAATTATCTCAGAAAGTTCTTGCTCTATTTTTTAAAATCAACGAAAAAAATAATTTGTTATAAATCATATTGAAAACAATTGAAAAACGAGACACTTCTAAAAATCGCTATAATTCGTATAGGAACGACATTTGACCTTTTCAATTTCAAAGATCTCATCGCTTGAGGGTAAAAATAATATATTGGTGAATAATTAATCTTATATTGATAACACATTTTCCCAAATCATCAATTAGGTTTATTTATTTTTATTATAATGCTTTAATGCTTCTGCTTATAACTTTTTGAATCTTGAAACCAAATAAAAAATTTCTTATTTTGATAATAAAACTTTTATTTATGTTGCTTATCAAATAGCTTGAAGCAGAAGCATTAGATAAAATGCATACTAGTTAGCATTATATATTGGCCTAAACTTTAGAACTTTTAAAAGTTGGTAAACTTGATTCTTAGGACTATTCCTAAAATTAGATTCAGACCCATATACAATTTTTGAAAAAATAATTGGATTCAAAATATAATGAGATTTTAACCTTTTTGTTTTTATATCTATTAAATTAACCAGAACAACATATTTATAAAGATCGTAGAATCTTAAGATTTAAATATTTTAATGTATTTGACGTATTAATGCAATTTAAAATCCGATACTTTTGACTAGTGTTGTTAAAAAGCTAGTTTTGAAAGAATCTTTAAAAACGGCTAACTTAATATTTTATCCAGAAAAATATTATGCAAGTCTTAAGATTTTTCTATAATTGGCACAAAGGTTTAACATTTATTAACGAAATCTCGATGCTTATTCAACTTTTATCTGGGTAAAATATTGAGTTAGCCTTTTTAAAAACTGGCTCAAATGGAGTCATTTAACAACACTATTTTAGACAATTTATATTTTTCATATAACTGGCTTCCATTATTGGCTGGAAAAAATTGATTGATGAATTAGTACGGCAGGCATTACCTATTTGTGCATCCAATTTTCAGAGCTCCTATAATTTTTGATCTAGCATTATGCTAATCTTGGAAATTTTTTCAATATGATTATTATTTATATTTATTAAATATATTAATTTTATACTGGTAAAAATGGAAAAATGATAATAAAATATTTAAAATTTCATAAAAATATCTGAAGGTTTTAAATGTTGCTTTTTAAATATTATTAATTTATTCACATTACAATAAAATATGTAACAAAATGTATATCTTATTACTTTCTACTTATTCGTATCATCTCAATTACAGGATTAGAAGTGTTTTATTTATTAAAAAAAATACCTTAATAATAAAGACCATTAAATTAAATGTGTTTGAAGTACTGAAAAAAATATGCAAGTCCCTCATTTTATATAATATTTATGTAAAATTGTATATATTTTAATAACAAATCATAATATTACAATATGAAAAATTTTCT